CAATGGGCTTGTGTGCGGCCTTTCCAGTATTCGCCTCGAACCTTTAGCCTTCTACGGCAGGCACGTATCTCAAGTAAAGACAGAGTTTTTCCAAGGGCTAAAAGCGATAGCGCTAATTCGTGTTCATCATCATCGATGGATATAGTTAATAGATAACTAGCCAACATGAGAATACATAAAAGAGCTGGGGATGAAGACATCGCACTAGAAGAGACAAGGAAAAAGCTTGCGGGAATGGTTTTTTCAAACTCGCACTGCTGTTAAAGCATATTTATACTTAGTACTAGCCACGAGATACCTCTGGCAAGCGGGTTTACTGCGGTTTTCAAGTGTGGTTTACTGACCGGCGAATTCTTAAATGATTAGCCGGTAGCCGAGGGTTACTAAGCAGGTTGGTCAGCCGGCCGGCCGGCTTGCTCACGCCAGCAAGCCACAAACCAAAAACCCAGACCATGAATTGAGGCGCCCTATTGTGACGCTTCGGTAACGTGAGTATATGCATCAACCTGCTCCATGGGACACCACACTCGACTGTGAATAAGATAGCCCTAACCTTTTCAAGGTGTGGGTGTGTCCGACATGCCCGGTACTGGGTCACCCTCGCTCATGGGGATTAGCTTGAATTAGATGGTTAGACGTCATCTCTCGGGTACCGAGTCTAACAGCTTTATAATCCGGCAGCGGCGAATGCGTAGACCAAGACCTACTTTAAGCAACCGTTGCTACATCTATCGATACACTGGGAATTCATGGCGCCCTACGATGATATTAGGTCCTTCAATCTGGCGGTGTCGGACGACCAGCTTAGTCGGCTACGCGCAAAGCTCGACTTTACTCGACTTCCTGACGAGCTTGATCTCCCTGCTGGCCAACAATGGGACTGGGGCATTCCTCTTGCCGTTCTCAAGCCAGTCGTCGACTACTGGCGCACAAAGTATGACTGGCGCGCGGTTGAAGAACACATCAACCGGACGTTGCCCCAGTTCACGACATACGTCGAATCAGAAAAACACGGGCAGCAAGAGGTGCACTTTGTGCACAAGCGGTCAGAAAACCCGAGTGCAGTGCCCCTGATATTTGTTCACGGATGGCCCGGGAACTTTCTCGAAGTGAGCACCCAAGTCCTGCACTTGAAAACGTGTGTGCGCCAAATTCACGAATGCTGGTAGGTATCCAAAATTATCGACGAACTGGTAAACCCCAAGGACCCAAAAAACCCTTCTTTTCATGTTGTTGCACCTTCGTATGGCATTTAACACGTTGGGTAATGGTTTGCTTACTGCAATCCCACAGGCTTCCGGGCTTCGTGTTCTCTCAACGTGCGGGAACCCCGGAATGGACGTTGTAGGCAGCTCATATTCGTTTGATAAACTCATGAAAAAGTTGGGCTACAAGTATTATATGGCGCAAGGAGGAGATTGGTGGGTTTTACTGTTTACCCTATTCTAATTACTGCTCAATTTCGATGGGCAGGGGTGCCGTGGTTTGCCGATCCTTTGCACTCAATCACCAAGATACCTGTCTTGCTACTCACCTAAACATGAACTTTGGCGTCGCACCTACGTTCTTCAAGAATCCAATAATGTCCTTGAAGACCACACTAGGGTTTGCTGGCATTCCGGGAGGGTACTCGAGGGACGATATTGTCGGAATCAAGAGGGCTCAGGATTTCCGGATAAGCGGAACGGGGTATTCAAGAATGCAAGCTACTCGACCGCAGGTGAGATTCACTGCTTCGTAGGAGCTCATTTACTGACTCGAGCTTGGTACACAGACATTGGCAGTTGGGTTGACTGGTATGCGATTTTACCCAGCCCACTGTAGATTATTGGAATTTACACCGTGATAGACAGTCCCGTTGGTCTTCTGGCTTGGATCGGTGAAAAACTACACGTCTGGACGGATAATTATCCATGGACTCCCGAGGAATGGATTACATGGACTATGCTGTATGTTGCGTTTCACATTGAAGTATGGTCGATTATTTATGATACATAGGCACTGGATCAATGGTACGTGAAATCACCACTACCCTTGGTTATACCCGCAAGTTTTATGGAACAGGCCCCGCCGGAGGATTGCGATTCTACAAAGAGCATGCCTGGCTCAGCCAATCCCACGCCCCTGGCATGTATGATCAACACAAGCAGTTTCTTCGTGAGTGGTCCCTCACACCACTCGCATTTTCTTCGTTTCCGAAGGAGATGGTCTGCCTGCCGTTGGAGTATGTCCCATCGTGCTCCTCGATTCATAAACAATGGTTAACCGAGGGAACAGATGGAGTGGGATTAATCAGAACTTGATCTATGCCAAGAAGCACAATAAAGGGGGCCACTTTGCTGCTTGGGAGGTGTGAGTACCCACTTTGTCAAAAACGAATACTCCGGGAATTGATTGTATTTTGCTCGGTGTTAGCCCCGAATTATTAGTTGACGATATTCGTAACTTTGCACAACTCGTGCTTGCAAAGGAGTCGCGGTTACGTGGCGTGAACTAGAGTCACATCAAGCGGTATACAGAAAATTATGACCATGAATCTACCAAATCTTGTTGGATCAACCGCCAGTATGTTCAAAAACATGATTATATGCGCATATGTTTGGACTGAAAAGTAGCGTGTTCTATTATCTCATGAGGAAAGGGTATAAACCATTCGTACGAACTCTCGGCTCTATCCCGGGGAGTGAAAGATCAGTATTTTTATTGGTGTTATTGAGCAGCACGAAATCCACATGACTACACGAGAGGCACAGGTTTTGTATACGATACATTCATTTTACATTCAACAGACGGGGCTCTTTCTCAAGCACGATAGTGACAAAGTTTTGGATGTCGTTCACGAGAAGCTCGGGGCTAGTCATGGAGTTAGTCTTTGCACAGATTCGAGACACAAAAGATGGCACTTACACCTCCCACGCGGGAAAGTGCCCACCCTTGTTGTGCTTTTTTGAGTATACCAACTGCTGTCCAATACCGGCCCACCTTTTTATGATCATCAGAACAAGAAATACACCAAAGGAGTTTAACTTACTCGACCGGCAATGCAACTATCTCTTTTGGGAACCAAGAAAATCCGAATAGTGTAGGTGACCACGAGGAGCGTAACCTACCGAGCTCTGCGCGTAGCTCGGGGTCCTTGGGAGGCCCAGTGATCGAGTTTTCTTTATAGTACCTCAGGCCTCCTGCCGGCCCTATGATGAAATTTCAGCTAGGTATAACAAGAAAAGGCGAGGTTATTTACCACTAATCCAATACCTAGCATCATTTCAAGTCAGGTTGTGCCCTATTCTGGGGGAACGAACTCACAGCATGGTCCAGGTGATCAATTCTTCGGGGGTCCATGGATAACTGTCCGTCCAGACATACATCTTTTCGCCGATCCAGGCAAGGAGACCAACGGGACTGTCTGCATATCCCGAGAAATGAAGGATAGGCTTTTCACAACCGACGACTTGAACTCACCGGTTAACCCTACAGCCAACGTCTGCGTAAATTTGGATTGGGGTCAGCCCGGAAGCGTATTTTGGTACTACATCAGCACACTGACCTGCGGTCGGGTGCCCTGGATTTGTTGATACGCTATCCCGGTCGCCCGGAGCTCTTCGGCGTTTTTTATTCCATCGATTTCGTCTCTAGGGTATCCCCCCGGCAATCCGGCAAGTCCGAGAGTAGTCTTCAGAGTCATAATAGGATTCTTCAAAGGCGCCGGATAGTGAAAGAAGTTGACGTTCGAGTGAGTAGCCAGGCATGTGTCTTGATGATATATTGCCAAGGCTCGGACAACCAATGATCCCCTGCTCACATATTAGTCATTGGAGGATATTTTTATGACCGCTCTTACCAGTCTCCACCTTGGGCGACATAGTGTTTGTAACCCAACTTTACCATCAGCTTGTCAAAGAGATACGCAGTCCCCACGGCGTTCATTCCAGGTGTATTCGCACGCTGCGAAAATACAAAACCGGGAAGACTGTGCCAATACGGTTACCCGTCGTATCGGACTCTGACAAATATTAACTTACGAAGGCGCGATGACATGAAACGACGGATGTTTTGGGTCTTTAGGGTCGACTAACTCTTCAATTATTTTCGACACCTATAGGCTGTTGTTTTGGTGAATTCACCATCGTAAGCCAAAATACTTGCCTCGAGAAAGTTGCCCGGCCACCCGTGAACAAATATCAGGGGCACTGCATTCGGGTTTTCTGACCGCTTGTGCACAAAGTGCACCTCTTGCTGCCCGTGCTTTGCTGATTCGACGTATGTCGTGAACTGGGGCAACGTCCGGTTGATGCGTTCTTCAACCGCGCGCCAGTCATACTTTGTGCGCCAGTAGTCGACGACTGGCTTGAGAACGGCAAGAGGAATGCCCCAGTCCCATTGTTGGCCAGCAGGGAGATCAAGTTCGTCGGGAAGTCGGGCCAGCTCCAGTTTCTTGCGCAACTCGTCGAGCTGATCTTCTGGGACAGAAATGCTAAAGGGTTTAATCTCATCGTAGGAAGCCATGGCTGGTGGTCGTCAGAAACAGGAGGGGTTAAGCGATCATAGACCTCTGGCGTAGCACGCAATCAAAAGGCCGCCGAAGTTGTTACGTGAGACGGCGTGTGCTTCTATCGGTTGGATGACTAACCCCGAGTGTTGAGGATAGGCGGGGAAAGTATTGTAGCAGTTTCAGCAGGGGGACAACTACGCGTGGTACTCGGCATCATGAAACACTCGTGTGCTCCCTGACTATACCCAATGTCCAGTTTATGAAGCTTGGAGACTGATAATATTTCCGGGGGATGGCGACATGGTTGCAGACGATGGGGGCAACGCCGAGTGTCGAACCTATAAAGTCTCCGACATGGCCAGCGCGATACAGTGAGACTACAACCCGAACTATGAGTATATGCGCGATTTATTGAGCTATAGTAGGATATTCACACGCCTCGGGATCGCTGGTGCAATGTAGATCTCAACTACGGGGTCCTGATATTCCTTTTGGAGCACATAAGTAAGGCTGTATAGTGTAGTGGTTTAGCACATGGGATTTTGAACGCGTACCCGGGTTCAATCCGGTGATTACGTAAGCTTCCCAGGACCCCGGTTCGAACCCGGGTACGGCCTTCTTTTTTATCCTTGAAAAGGTCCCATGCTTCCAAGTTCCACTGGGGCAGGATTCTCGAACCCAGTCTAGCCCCCCTCCCCCCCTCATTTTTTTCCTCTTGACAACTTGATACTATGCACAACCTGATATCATGATATGAATTACGGTGCATACATGGGTACATTCATGGCCACCGAATGCAAAATAACCACTCCAAGGGGATGAGGGGGGTACCTCCCCTTCAACCCTTCTGGAGCCTTTCATGAGCAAGGTAGCACTTTCACACTAAAAAAATAGCACCTAAAGGTAGCACAGACACCCACTAGGAGCTTTCATTGACATTCAACCCTTCGGTTATCACTCTGTGTTGGAATAGAATGCATATACAGTAGGGGACAAATTCCTTCCATTTGAAAAAACCTGCACACCAAAACACCAATAGCTGAGCAACCAGCTGAGGTGAAATTATGTTAATATAATTATTAGATAGAGGGGATGTGTGGCTTCAAAATGCATGTAATCACAGCACATTTAATAAAGTATTAGTGAAGATATGCATGAAACATTCAAGAAAGTCAAATGGAAGGAATTTGTCCCCAGCAATCCACTTTCCTTATTACCACCCATAACTCTGCATTCCAGATAATTATAAGCTAAACTGTTAGATATTTTGAACACTCTATCTGCATACTACAATTGTGCAAAGAAGTAGCCAGAGGAGTGCCCTGGTCTAGGTAGAAAAGTGTGAGTTAGACTAGGGTTTGGTCACATTGGGTGTCACCCTTACTACATACTAGGATGGATTCACTAAGACTCCTAACACTGCTAGCTGAGTAGTGCAGCCCATATAGCTACTTTACCCATTATTAATCTTGTCTAGATGGTTGAAGGTGATGGAATTAGTGAGCTGGATAGGTGCAGACAAGGAGGAGTGAGTGCATACACCCAGGTATTACTGGATGGAGGGAAACAGGAACAGTTTAAATATATTATGTATGAATAGCCTACACACTGGGTAACCTGATACATGTATGTAAAAGAAACCATAGGACCTGTGTCAACCTCAAAC